GATCCCAAAAGGTGGCGGGGTCAAGTGATCCACCATAGGTCCGCCCATGGTAACGTGAACATACAAAAACATTAAGAGCAGCTTGCAATTGCATGTTTCAACATGTGACAAGTAGAAACTTATTTCTATACTAGTTTTTAACCCGTGCAATGCACGGATTGTGTTACATTGGAGGTAATATTAGCATCTTGAACGTTAAGGTTAGACGGTAAATTGTATTACGAAATTTCCTCACACATTTTTGTATGAAAAAAATAATGTTTCATAGGGATATTAAGGTCAATCCAAAATTTGAACAAAGGAAGCAATAAATATCATGTGGAAAATACCTCTTAAGAAAAGTTCAAATTTACAAGAGTAAAACAATAGATTTTACAGCTTCAAATATAGCAATTTACTTGAAAATGAGAATTTCGTCTAGTTTCTTTTTTCCTGAACTAATATATAACTAAAGCAAAAACCTCCTACCTTTGAAAGACAAACACATAAGCAAGTTGCAATAATTAGGAAGAGAGAAAACTAACCGAACAAAATATTCGTAGCACTTTACCGTAAAATGGTTATAATATCAGACTTGACAGGGGAGCCACGTGACATCCATATCACATATTATGGTTGGAATCTTGGATACCAGTAGTATAGATGGAGTTTGTCCAATCGCCAAGACAAAATTTAAGCCACCAAAATGCAAGGCAAAATCTCATAATATAACAAAACTCACAATTTTATTAAGTAGAATATTAGTCGAATACTGATCATTAATGGGTGGTAGTTGGATAAATAAGAAGCATTGAGATAAGAAAATAAAGACTCAACTATTAGCATATTGTGCCTCATCTCTTCCACGATAAGGAGACCTTCTAACGCGACCTCAAGGTCACAAACTTCGACGTCAAGGAGAACGATTGCAAGGACTCAAAACTCCTGATTCAATTAACGTCATTCAAACATTGAGTTAAAAATATCAGTCAAAGTTCTTTATTCTTTCCCAAAAACCAAAAACCTAGCAACTCAATATATATTACCTTCATAGCATGGGCTTCTACGATATCTAGGAGAAGTATGACTCTTATGCTTTCGAGAACCTCCATGGGTCATGCACTTATGGACAAAATGGTCATTCTCACCAGACTCGTAGCATTTTAAATCAAAACCAGAATGACTGTATCCCCTACCACCACCACAGTCGCAGTCGCTGCCATCACCACAAATCCATCGTCATCACGACTTCTATCCCTAGAATTGTGAGAAGGCTTTATCAAAAAAGAAGGTATAAATTTAAAGGGAAATGTTTTTTTTTTTTATGAAATAAGTTGATAAGAATTATCAGACATTAAAAAAATTTATTTTTTAGCAAGATATGAAGCAAAAAGATCCCTAATCTTGTAATAATTCTATAAATATATGTAAAAATTCAATTTGTATATTGAAAAAGAAAACAATAAAATATTATAGAACTTATCACATCGAAAAAAAAATATTTCTAAAACAATATTTCATTGACCTTATCAGGTTGTATTTTAACCATTTTTTCATATTTCTTCTTCTCATCCGTAACTTATTCCGTGTAAGTTTGCTAAGTTGTTCGATGTAATATTCGCATGAATTCAGAAGGTCGTCGAATTATGTACAATCAAGATATTCTGCATTAATATAGAGGAAACAAATTAAAAAAGCAGATATATGATAATCTATTTTCGTTCTATTGAATTTGATCTCAGATAAGATATGCTAAAGATTAAAAAATACATACGAAAATGTTGTAGATCTATGGATGTATGAATGAAAGGATTTCCTTGTAAACAATATTTTTAGTACATGTATTGTGTAAATTGTCAGTATTTGATGGTTTAAGCAAAACTTTAATAGACGTGCTTGTTTTAGCTCTTGATAATGCTACATAAAGTTGACCATGAAAAAAAAAGGTTTTGGAAGATACAAACCAACAAAATTAAGTGTTTGACCTTGTGCTTTATTTATCATCATTGCAAAGCATGGTCTAATTGAAAATTGAATTCTTTTAAATGGAACTGCATTCCGATCAGTTTTAAGAGGTATAAAAAGAATTCTTGGTAAAAAAACATGCTTTCCACAATACTCGCCACTTGTGATTTCAGCAAGAATTACATTCTTCTCAAATTTTCGACAAGTAAGGCGTATTTCATTGCATAACCCTTCAGAATGATTAATATTTTGTAATAACATCACGGGGCAATTTACTTTGAGCTTCAATTCATGTGGTGGAATACCATTTGAGGTCAAACTATTCAAGAAATCTTCCTATATGTTTTGTTCTGATTTGTCAATTGCTTCATCAAAACTATAATATGTAAAAATTTGACCTGGAATTTGCTCTAGTAAAATTTTGTTAATATGATCAACACATTCATTTGTAGGCGTAAAAATAACTCGATTTGTCATCTCATGTAAATTATCAACATATGCTTTTATATTTGGAAAAACATGATTTATTAAACTTTTTAAAGGCGTAATTTCATCCTCAAATTGTAGAATAATACTATCTAGAAGCTTGATGCAGTTACAAGTATGTTCTTGTTCTGTTCCATCTCCAATTTTAAGCAAATATTCACAAAATGTGGGAACCAACTTTTCCCTCACGTTCTTAATCAATGGTAGATGCATACACAAAGGCCATAGATCAGAAAAAGCTAAGCTAGCTTTCATTATATCTTTTTTTTTTTCCTTTAGGTACTACAGGTAGAACTTGTCGAAAATCTTCTCCGAGAACGACGACTTTCCCACCAAAAGGCAAAGTGCAATCAATAATATCTCTGAGCATTTTATCTACAGTCTCAACAGCAAAACGATTTACCATGGGTGCTTCATCCCAAATTATTAATCTAAACATTTTCAACAAAGTTCCTAAAGATGATTGCTTGCTAACGGAGTAGCTAACTTCACCAATTGTTTCCAATGTAATTTTAAATCTTGAATGAGTTGTTCGACCTCCAGGTAAAAGAGATACAGATACCCTAGAAGATGCAGTTGCTAAAGCAATTAAATTTTGACCTCGCACCAACAAGGAGTGCTTTATATAAAAAAGTTTTACCTGTTCCACCTAGACCATCAATGAAAAAAACACCACTTGATTCTGAATTTACTTTTTCCATAATTGCATCATATGCAAATTGTTGTTCAATGTTTAAGCTTGTTGCGCAAACACACCCTTTTTTAATATCCAAATCGGTTGTCTCCTCTATAACCATTCTTCTCAACCTTTTATTCTCATCTATATTTATACTGAAAGGCACTATTCCATAGTCATTTATGTTTTTACCCAACGATTCTAGAATAGAACTAATGTCTTGTAGCGCCCGTAGTTTAGCAACTTCCACTGGTGTATTTTCATGTATATAATCGTCAATCATATTAGCTATAAATTTATCCCATAGTAACTTTAGATGATTGGAGTTGCAAAGCGTAAGAAGTGTAGCAAATAGAAGTCTTAAAAAAGTTGGCACTTCATAAACAATAGTTTCAGATAAACATTATTCACAGTGGTTATCTCCGCTTAATAGACCATGTAGAAGTGCGGCTTCTCGATATGTTGTAATAGTTATTCCATTCGAAGTTCGTAAATCTTGAAATGATTTTGGCCCTCGAAAGTGATTAAGAAGAATGCGGAGGAAATATCGTTCTCTGTCAGAAGGATTGGCCGTGACAATTCGTCCCATAACAATTTGTTTCTTTGGAGTCTAAATCTTGTTATTTGTATTCCAAACAAAATGTGTAGGGAAATCTCGATATAACAATGTTCGAGCAAACTCGTTTACTTCAAATTCTGTTAGCATTGTTCTTTTCATATTTTCATTGTCAATAACAGTAGACAAATCATCTTGATCATTGTACATTACTTGTTGATGATTTTGAATATGAAGCTATAGAGAATAAACAGTAGGATACATTTCTGACAAATTGAAAGAAAAAAAATCCTCTACATAGCTTCACATGGAAATATCCATCTAGCAGATTGATAGACAGATATTTCGTCAATTTCTTTCCCTATATCATTTGTTCAAATTGAGAAATTAATACGATCATGTCCTTTGTACACATATTTGTACAAATATTTTATAGCTTTGATAGAAAAATATACTTCAACATTAATGTAACAATCAAATTTTGTACTTAAATAAGGATTGTATGGTACAACCCACCGATTATCTAACATTTGACCTCTAACTTTAACAGAGACACCATTATTACTACGCTTATACAATGGGTATAAGTCAACACCAAATATAGTAGTATTACAATAATCCCTGAGATATTTATTTTTACAACCTCTATTAGTCTCCATACATACATTTTTAGGATTAAGATTTCCACAAGGTCCATGCATATTGCACTTGACAATAACGGAATGAAGATGAGAGTTTCTATTTTTGTCAGGAATTTCACAGCACACTATCCTATCAACCTCTTCAACACAACAAATTTTTTGCCCAAATTTGAAAATCAACAATAAATGCGCATGAGGGAGACCATTGAAATATACGTGCAATCAGATCCAATCGATTTTGAACTTCATCATTGTGTTTTAGTTCTTGCTTAATCTCCAGCCAATTAGGATTACATGTCATAGTCAAAAAAATGTTAGGTTTTCCAAAATGTTGCACAATAGACATTGCATCCATGTATCTCCTTAGCATATCTCTAGGCTCAAATGTAAAGGATTGTGGTAAAACAAATTTTCTTCCAATTTTGTACCCTCTTGTTTCCCCATTTTCAACACTATCCACAATACCTTGATAAAGTTCAACACGAATTTATTTTTGATTATTACGAAAATAGTCTAACCTAACAGTTTCAATCTTAACATACATATCTACGACAAACTGTTGAAACAGTCTACCAGTGTGAAGCAATAAAGACTTACCAGAAGGTCTAATTTGAAATTTGTACGAATAGTACTCTCGACAAGAGACTTGAGAACGTTTCTTCGCTCCATTAAGCACTATATCACAAAAAAGGGAAAAAAAATAGTATATTCATATACTACCTTTAAATTGCAAAAGGTAAAAATTTTAAAGAAAATAAATACACAAACCTTGATTCTCTTTTTCAATAGTTTCAGCTGCAGAAGTAATTGTGCTAGGCAAAGTGACTAAAACAGACATATGTTGAGGCTGAACGTATTTGCTTCTGGATCTCTCAATGCTTTCATGCCAACCAGATTCCCCATATAGGAAAAGTAAGGAATATTGTAAAGGATCATAACAACCGTAGTAGTAATGAACCTTGTGTGAATCACCAGAATGACCGTAGATAATAATATCACGAGTGCAAACATTTGCATTTTTATCATCTTCGACCCATACGGCAGCTACTTGAGATGTCATAGGAGTATTAAAAACTCTTTGATCAAGTCCTGGGTCGCATCTTATTTGTATTCGATGGTCGTACAAATTAGTCATGTCACTTAACGACCTAAAGAATTTACCTTATGAATTTACTTTCAAGATTTTAATTAAACTAATTAAAGTAGATTCAACAAAGTTCTCTGAAATTTTCATACAATTTTCAACTTCATTATCTGTGTCGTAAAAATATAGCTGCATATAACAAGATGTATTATTCTCCGGCATAAGTTTATTTACATAATGATATACTTGACCCTGAACCCTAAATGTGTAAATACCTCTGTACAATTTAAATAGTTCTTTATCGTACTTTACACCAAAAGAAGTGAGCGCAAAATGATTATTATATCCCCTGACAATTTTTTTGAATTCCAAACATGTAGGTTCTTTAGAGGTAAACAAGTTGTATAATTATGTTGGTGAATCGACATGCATAGTTCAAGTTTTCTATCAGAGCAACAGAAACCTTTACTTTCCCTATAATTTTTTTTTTGCACCACAATATTTACAATAAATGCATGTTGGTAATACATATGCAACACCTGGTACATTCAATAAGTTAAAACTTCTCTATAATTCAGGATTAGAAATATATGGCGTTTCGTTGTTCGAAGTAGAAACCTCAGAATGATGATGCCTTGTAGACTCATGCGTATAGGGAAAATGGAAATTTTTATTTTTAGATAACATAGACGTAGTTATCCTTCTGCGATGATCAATGGACCAAACTTGAGCTTGATTTCGCCGATCTCTTCGTCTTTGATTTTGTTGTTGGCGAATAAATGCATTTTGTGACTCAATTGTACTTTCGGAGATATTTTCAGTGTTAAGCAAACGAGACTTTTCATTAGCACACGTTTCCAAGATATCCATTAGAAATATAAGATGACCTATCGAATACTTGAAACTCAAAGTAAGCACCAGCAACTACAAAAAGAATTTAAGAGAACCATTAGCATAGATGCTTGGTCATACGCACACCAAATATAATCTTTGCCATTGAACAATTGGTACACAAAAAGTGAAAGATATGTTCATATCTCCACAATATGTAAATAATTTTACAACTAACAAAACACAAAGGCATCTTCTAAAATATACAACTTGCATACATGAGAACTCCACCAAAAACCAATTGTTTGAAAAAAGTTTCATCAAAATCACAATTATCTAAAAAGAATCTTACTCTTAAACCAAAAGTAAAGTAAAAGAAAGACAGTTAAGAAAGAGAATAATTTAGTTAGACAGATAAAAATGTTAAAACTAAGAAACTAATGCAGTAATCATATTAAGAAATAGAGACCTAAAGAAAGAAAGAAAAAATGAAACATCATTAACATAGAATTTTGAATGTCATGTAAATGTAAAAGAAATTACAAGTAAAAAACAAATATAGTGCAAAAAGAAGAGACTACATAAGAAATGAAGTTAAGAATAAAACAAATATAGTGCAAAAAGAAAAGACTACATAAGAAATGAAGTTAAGAATAAAAAATTAATAGGGAAGAAAAACGTGCAAAAGATAAGTAAGAAAACAAATGAATTAACAAAACGAAAATTATACAAATAACCTACCCAATCAATATTCCACAAAAGAAATGAAGTTAGAAAATTTAACACACGACAAATGAACACAAAAGGTACGAAATAGAAGATAAGATTGTACATTACTTAAAAACAAGAAGAAAAGAAATCAGACATTAGGTGTAGTGTGATTGAAGCTAACAATGAACCTGAGAAGATAAACGAAAGAAGGAAATGAATAAAATATTTTAAAAAGTCAAATAGATAGAGAAAAAGAAAGCCGAATGAAAGAAATCGAAAACTTCTATAGAAAATCATGAACAATCAACTAAAGAAAAAAATGTATTTAAAACCCCTTACCCAAAAGAGATCTCATCACTACAGTCTTCAATTCCACGAGCTAAGTAATATAATCGAGCCCTATACACAAAAGCAGCAAAATAAAAAATAAAAATTCATCAAACATATTTTGATAATTGTAAAACATTTAAACATAAAATGAAAACTATAAACTACCATCTATAAATATTGCATCTGACAATGGTGTGGAGCAAATTTTTTTATTAACTCCCTTGAAATAAAATTACTACTGTAATCTGCATCAAACTGAATCTACTGATTTAACATTTTGAATGGTCTCCGTAGATTAATTCACAAAAATTTAACTCCTCATGTTTAAAAAGAAATTAGATATAATTTTTTCTCACCATATGCTCTAATAGGGTAAAAACTTTTTCATAACACACAGAACTAATATTGTTTGAGAACCAAATTTGTTTCCTTATTTCCCTTTCAAATTGCATCAATAAAGCACAAAACTATAAAGAAACTTTTGGGGGAAAAAAAGAAAAAAAATCAAGTAAGAAACACCCTCATCAAGGTAGTAAAATGTTGAGAAACTACATTTATAGATATATTTTCTTGCAATGCAAGCATTTGTAGATTCAGCAAACCCAAAAGATCGAATGGTAACTCTTTTAAGAAATTCTATTTAGCGAAATAAAGCGTAAAAGTTAGTTGGAATAGTACTCGAGAGATTGTAATTTGATAATAAAAGATTGCAATTCATTTCTTTTCATTTGTGCTCTGTTCAATTTAATTTTCATTGTCTTCTCTACTAATCAAAGTATATTACGAGCTTGTTTGGAGCGCTTTCCCGCACAAAGAAAAGAAATTTTTTGCCCTTTTTTGGTCAGCTGGGAACCACTTGTCAAATTATTGGTCAACAATGATGGCTACAAATGGGTTTTGACGGTCCCAAAAACAATTTTTTTGGACTAAAAATTCCCTCCAAACAAGGGCTACATGTATGCTTACCAAATGAAATCGATATCTCTAATTGCCTTTTCTCTTCCAACAGTTTTTCATCCCCATGATTTTGTAGGTTTTCTTCTCATCCCAACACAATTGAACTTTAAACATATGAAACTAACTTCTGGTTGATTTTATACCATAGTTCAAAAATGAAAATCAAAGTTAGA